AACTAGGGGCCTGCGATGAACTAGTGGGTACCAGCTAATAACAAGGGTCCTGCAATGGACTAGTGGGTACCAGCTGGTAACTAGGGCCTTCGATGGATTGGTGTGTTCGAGCTAATTACTAGGGGCCTGCGATTTACTAGTGGGTACCAGCGAATAACTAGAGGACTGCTATGGACTATTAGGTACCGGCTAATAACTAGGGGCCTGTGATGAACTACTGGGTACCAGCGAATAACTAGAGGCCTGCGATGGATTGGTGGGTATCAGCTAAAACTAGGGTATTCGACGGATTAGTAGGTTCCAGTTAATAACTAGGGATCTGCGATGAACTAGTGGGTACCAGCTAATAACTAGGGTCCTGCGATTGATTGGTGGGTACCAGCTAATAACTAGGGGCCTGCAATGGACTAGTGAGTATCATATAATAACTAGGGGCTGCGATGAACTAGTGGGTACCAGTTAATAACTAGGACGTGCAATGGACTAGTGGGTACCAGCTAGTAACTAAGGGCCTGCGATTGATTGGTGGGTACCAGTTAAGAACTAGGGTCCTACGATGGACTAGTGGGTACCAGCTAATAACTAGTGTCCTACAATGGACTAGTGGGTTCCAGCCAATAACTAGGGGCCTGCGATGGTCTAGTGGGTATCAGCTAATAACTAGGGGACTATGATGAACTAGTAGGTACCAGCTAATAACTATGGGCATGTGATGGACTAGTGGGTTCTATGTAATAACTAAGGGTATTCGATGGATTGGTGGGTACTAGTTAATAACTAGGGGCCTGCAATGGACTAGTGGTTATCAGCTAATATCTAGGGGTATTCGATGGATTAGTGGGTTCCAGCTTATATCTAGGGTCCTGCGATGGACTAGTGGGTACCAGCTAATAATTATGAACCTGCGATGGGCTAGTGTCTACAGTTAATAACTAGGGACCTACGATTGATTGGTGGGTACTAGTTAATAAATAGGGGCCTGCAATGGACTAGTGGGTATCAGCTAATAAGTAGGGGCCTGCAATGGACTAGTGGGTACAAGTCAATAACTAGGGGCCGACGATGGACTAGTGGGTACCAGCTAATAACTAGGGGCCTGCGATGGATTGGTGGGTACAAGTTAATAACTAGAGATCTCCAATGAACTAGTGGGTACCAGTTAATAACTAGGGTCCTACGATGGACTAGTTGGAACCAGGTAATAACTATAGTCCTGCAATGGACTAGTGGGTACCAGCTAATAACTAGGGGCCTGCGATGGGTTGGTGGGCACCAGTTAATAACTAGAGATCTCCGATGAACTAGCGGGTACCAGTTGATAACTAGGGTCCTACGATGGACTTGTGGGTACCAGCTAATAACTAGGGGCCTGTGATGGACTGGTGTGTATTAACTACTACCTAGGGCCCTGTGATGGACTAATGGGTACCAGCTAATAACTAGGAGCCTGCAATCGACTGGCATTTCGTCGGTGTGTATAGGGAACATGTGTTACCATTGTCATCTAATGGAACAGCAGTAAAAACTGGACATATGTGTCTTTCAGGCATGAAAATATTTTTTCTAAACCACGAATTAATAATAGTGCAAAAACTAGGCGATGTTTTATATTACACACTGCAAATTCTGTTATAATTGTTAATAGAAAATATCTAGAGAATGATAAACGAATAAATCTGTTAATAGTATCATGTTGGTCAGTCAGACAAAAAAACTATGGGTTTACACCTTCATTATTGATGCCGAGCTTAATGTCATAATTCTTTAAGTTTATACTTTCATTATTCACACTGAGGTAAGTGATTCTACTCGAGATCCAGCTTAGTTTCATAATCGTTTAAGATGGTTTGGGAAACACTTTCCCATTTTCAATGCACAGATCCATTTTTTATGCGTTTTTGTTAAATTCCACTACAGTTAAATGTTTTATTGCACGAAGTGTATTGTTACGACAACGGAAGTCATGCTACGCTGGAAGCATGCGCGCTGGAGTTTCTAGAAGTATCATGACTGTTCCTGGTAACTCTAGTCTTTTGTCGGCGCTCTCTATTTTAGTATATAAGCCCGACAAATAGAGCGGAGATAATAATTGCAGATAGAAGGAGATAGAGATAGATAATTGAGTTAAGTGAGCGGTAGTGACCGTAAGTAAAGTGCGTGAATCGTTGTGAAGTTAAAGTGACTGTGGAAATTCTGTGTGTTATAAAGTTGTATCGAGAAGTAATAAACTAGCTTTAATTAAGAAAGGACTTGTATCGCTGAAGTTCCTCGGGAAGAATTTATACCCTATTCTTTTTGTGGATAGCAGTATTGCCAATAACCTACTGCTACTATATTATCACCCTATTCTTTCTATGGATAGCAGTATTGCCAATAGCCTACTGCACCTATATTATCACTCAATTCTTTTTGTGGCTAGCAGTATTTCCAATAACCTACTGCAACTATATTATCACCTATTCTTTCTGTGGATAGCAGTATTGCCAATAACCTACTGCAACTATATTATCACCTATTCTTTTTGTGGATAGCAGTATTGCCAATAACCTACTGCAACTATATTATCACCCTATTCTTTTTGTGGATAGCAGTATTGCCAATAACCTACTGCAACTATATTATCACCCTATTCTTTTTGTGGATAGCAGTATTGCCAATAACCTCGCGATTTATAGAACGATTTTAATCTTTCTCCCGTCGTCCAGCCATGTGACCTCCTGAAACACGGTTAAATCTCAGGATTCTTTCGTCCATGGTTGTTTGTATTCAGTCTTCTTTTTCTAGCTGTACCTGTACGTCGTATCTTTCTATAAGACGTCACTGAGAGGTATTGGTACTTTAAAACAACAAACTATTAATGGTGAGATACATTGTGACGTAATTCATACGTATTTGTACTCACCTTCTTACACAGGTCTTTTGAGGGTCCGTTTACTAATTAAAAATGGGCTTTAATAAAAATTTCTCAACTCGATGAAATGTAAGAGAAAAGTTTAAAACTGAGTGTGAAGTTTTCTTTTGTCTGTATATATATATATATATATATACACACATATACTG